ACCGAAATTAGGAACGCCACTGACTGCGCGAGATCCCACAGAGTTTTCAAACACTAATGCGGAATATCCCGGAGCCCCATTCACAAACCAGCCAGACCAAGTCTTCCAAATTTTTCAAATCTCTATGCCACATCATCGATTGGCCACCGCGCCGTCTCGCTCAAATTGGTGCAGCTACAGTATTTAAAGCACGCCGAGGAAGTCAGTCAACGAACATACGTAGGACATGACCTAGCCAACGTAGACCATTAAGATTCAGCAAACACTCCAGTGAGGCACCAGAAGGCTTCTTGCCAAAAACTAACTGGTAGACCTCAGCTCTACCCTCCCGGTATTCCCACCAGATGTGAGCCACACTCCACAAGCACCGGTGGTCAAACACGATCAAGCGTTTAATGTTTTCGCCGCGAACTGGTCAGGTCTCTGATCAATACAATATCGGCTTTACCGCAGCAGTATACACCTTAAGTTTCACTGACAGGCTGATATCCCGCCCACTTCATAGGTTAAGCTTCTGGAAGACAACACGGACTTGGTTCAGAAGTGAAGCAATTTCAGTGATGTGGCCATCAGAGATGCGAAAACTATTAGAGTAGCTGAACAGACACACCACTTCCAGTAGCTGTTCGCTGAAAGATAAATCCGGTGGTGTGTAGGTCCAGTTCTGCAACAGCATTTTGCACTTTGAAGTCATAAAGCACAAGCCGAAGCGTGCAGTGCTACACGTCAGTCTGTCCACTACTGCTTACGTAGCTAGTGTCCGACTCAGAGAGAGAGCTGTCATTCGTATCCTCAAGGTTTGTCAACCGAACACCTGGCAAAACCACCACAGTAGAAAAGCTTGAGAAAAGAACACAGCTATTTATGATCAATTCGATCAATAGGTTGAAGAGGAAAGTAGATAGAGGACAAGCTTGGCGAATCCACTTGTCGTGGGAACTCATGGGACCGCTTCTGGTAGACTCTTAAGCGACTTCAGGAATCACGGTAGAGAGCTTAGAATGGAGAGCTTTCCTGGCACTCCCATCACACAGTTAGGCATTCACAAGGTGGCTAGATCGATAGGGTGGGAGGAGGCTTTCAGGTCAAGGAAAATCACCATAGTTGTTTGTGTGTCTTTGCTCTAACACGACAAAGAGTAAAAATGTAGTCGATGCAATTACGACTGGGGCGGAAACGAGCCTGGCTTTCAATGATTCAGCTCTCACAAGGACAAGTAAGTCGTCGAAGAGTGACATCCGTGAGAGGTTTGAAGACAATGGAAAATGTGCTTATGCCTGTGATTTTCGCACATGGATCGAATTGAAACGGGAGTAGTTGAGTAACCTCATTTTTCAGGTTGGTTCGAGAAATAAAAACGGTGGCTCTCAATCGGCATCAGCAGCTTAAAGACCAGTCGCACTGACTGTTTGGTGTGCGCATACTGTTAAGTAAGCTGTGGACTAGGTGATATCGGTAGCATGCCAGAATAATGTAAAAAAGATTCGCAAACAACGCAAGAGAAAGTGATTGTGTACGGACAAACAATCCAAGAAAAGAACAAGGCGTGGACCTGGGTACAGTAGCTGTCGACCATCCTCACTACACCAACTACTTCTGACTAGTAGATTGAGTGCTATCGGTTCGTTTGATATGCATCCCAGATGTGCGAGTGGTTGCCGAAAGGTCACGGCGTCTGTCTCGCAATCCAAAGGTCACTGGTTAGAAGCCGCGTGCGTGCGGACGATCTCGTAGTGGCCTAAGGACACACGCAACTAGCGATGGTCGAGTGGAAGCAAGGCATCGGTACGGCGTGACGGCGTACTGCAGATGTCTTGTCAGGCTCGGGTCCATTAGACCCACTAGCATGAAATATGAGGTGAAACCAGCATTAATGATGCATTTGCAGCCGTCGCCAAGTCGCACCGCTTGTTGAAGCGGTGTCCGGCGCTGGGTCTTAGTGTGATAAGGTAGAATATGACGTCGAATGGTCAAAACCGCTGGGAGCCTGTAACGGCGATGCTGTTCAAACATCACTTGCTAGTCAGATAGATGGCTGTGACCGAGCGATGTCACGGTTGTCTTCAGCTTGAAGACCAGATTATTCCTACTTAGCAGATTAAGATCTGTGTAGTAGCAGAGCATAGAGGCAGCCGTATAAAGCAGTGACATTGCTGTAAATGACGGCGGCGAATCGATGCGGGCAGAAGTCGCATATGTTAAGCGCACTAAAGGCAACCGATACTTTATAGCTTTGGAAACGATTGCAGCCGTGTCTAAGCAAGGATGTTGACAGTCAAGGGAACAAAGAATAAATGAATAGCCAAAAGCCTAAGGAAGTGTTGAAGGTAGTTTCAGTACTATGGGCCGAGGCTTCCTGGGCCGAGATACTGCCACCTTTCCTAGACAAGCCGTTGCTGGAACCGAGGCTCATGGTTCGAATATCAGAAGTTTGAATAATTGCACCACGGATCCTGGTGTCTTAGAACTGCGAAGGACTGCAGCAAATGACCCCAGCTCGTCCAATTCCTTGGATTAAATACATGTTGGTTAAAGAACTGTCAAGCGGTCACCTGTGTCCGACCATTAACACAGATGTGTCACGCAGCATGGATGAACGGTACTTCAGAGACGCGGGCTGTGCTTACGACATATCCCGACTTGTAAACTGGTGCCCAAGAATTTGCCTCAGGATGTGGTGCCAATCTTATTCGTCCCCACACTGCAGATCGGTGCCACAAATGTGACCGGGCAAATTTCACAGTCCGGATACCTTAGAGAGCTCTTACATGAAATGAAATGTGTCAGCTTATACGCCGTAACGGCGCTTCGCTGCCGCGCGACCACCACCAGTCGCGCGCGGGCTGAGTATACCGCGAGGACGCCCACCCCTACGCGGATTCGAACCGGTGACCTTATGGTTGGAAAGCAAACGTGCCAACCACTCGGCCACCGGCTCTTACATACGATTAATGAACTCGTGGATAAAGTTGATATCCATCTAGCACAACTACACAGGGAAAATTAACGCCAAGAACAACGATAGAATGCATGAACCGATGACATGAAGATTGTTTGTGTTTTCTCAATTGCAAATCCGGAAGTAAATGTGAGAACCATTCAAATTGACATCCAGCTCCTTGAGTTTTGGTCTGGAGAATGGTACTCAAACTTCCCGCACAATTTCAGCACCTTCACTTTGCTTAATTCTTAATGAGGAGCCAGTGCATAGCAAACACATCGTTCGTGATCTCGGAAAAAGCTGTAGGGAGCTACCCAACTTCCCCATTCATGCCCAACAAAAGCAATCGAAGGCGCTACATGTTTTAGGCTTAATCTACAACTCAAGAATCTTACCCGAATTGCAACTACTGCTTTGGTTTAAGTGTGTGCACCCGAATGTTGGAGTACTACGCGGTCATGCGAAAGAGAGAGTTGCTAACGCCGGATCGTTTGCAGCGGTTTCTCATTAAGTGTTCTATGGGTGAGTCGTTACTAACAACACACCAGTTAGAGCACACATCGACCCCTTCGGTTACGATAGTTGAAGAGCAACCCAATGTTCACATAAAAATTGATACACAGTATAAGCACAACCCGCGATTCGAGAAAGAAAACAGGTTGTTCCTTCGTAACGAAGGTGCACAGTGCAAATAATTATAAATGCTTACACGGTAAGTTAGTCAATGATATGGAATCGAATGCCACACTCAATAAGAACAAGCCAATCTACTGATTAGTTCGGAACTGACAAATCAATTATCCATTTGGTCGAGTATGGTAAAACTATTCGGACGTCAGGTAACAAATGAGAAGTCATGTTTTCAAAGTCGGCCGGTGACCGAAAGGATAGCATGCCTGGCTTGCAATCCTTAGGTCACCGGTTCGAATCCGCCGAGGATCGGGCGTCCTCGCGGTATACTCAGCCCACGCGCAACTGGTGGTGGTCGCGTGGCAGCGAAGCATCGGTACAATGTGTCGGCGTAACGCTGATGACTTTTTTCATGTTTCCCAGATCCAGAGAATATTCAATAAATATACAACATGCTTGTTGTCTCATCAGATCCATCTCCTTATGTCCACGCGTCGAAAATCGACCACCGCGCAGAACACCACTGCCGATTCCGCTAAGTGATTGATCCCCTCTAAGATACGATTGTTTCTTACCTCTTGCCTATTGACTCTTCTAATCCATCACAAATCTTTTTACGTCCAAGCGTTGAAAAATCGATCCATTATTCGTGTTAACACTAATACATCGGCAGCTTTAAAAGTTAGTCTCAACTTTCTCCCTTTTTTGAACTTTTACAAGGCAGCATTAAGTAAGTTGACCTTGCCAGTTTGTTAGATTCTAGTTCTCTAATACGTTGTGCTTGAATCGCCTTCTGGTTTACGGTACAAATGCCATATATATATATATATATATATATATATATATATATAACCCAGCTCATTCCCAGATTCAATGAAATGGCCTGATCATCAATGCCTGTTGCTGATCTGCGCACTCCTCTGCTCCTTGCCGATACAAGTATTCTCAGATAAATGTCGAATTGCACGGACGTATATAAGTACGGTCCTTAGTGTCTTTCTGTATCCAATGCTGTCCTAGCATTAGCAACATGTCAACTCATCCCGGTGTAATGACACACTTTAGCCCCTACTAACGCAACTGTCAATATGGACGATTTAGGCAAATCTCCAGTTTCTAGTCGTCAACATACAAAGTGCAGTTAAGTGGATGGTGATCATCTGACAGCGTTTTGCGAGTTAAAGGCGTAAACAGCAGGCAACAGGATAGGAATGTCCAAACGAGTTTGTTCAAGGTGGTCTGTGCAGAAACCTGATTAGCTAGCAGTAAAATGTCATCTACATAGTCTACATCATCTAGTCTCTTTGGGTTGAACTCACTGTGCACGAGCCGACGAAACAGACAGCGACTAACCGCACAAAAAAGCTAGCAGTTACGTACTAACAGGTTTATAAAGTGAAGTATGGGAATTAGAATGCCGTAGTCTCACCTGCCTCAGCCCAGTGTTTTGTAGTTGAACCGTCTGGGGAGCCACGATGTGTCTGTGTGACAGCTGGGTGATGATGTTCCAGACGGGTTGCAACGGAATCGGATGGTTTTCTATTGGCAGACCGCAAGGGGTCAACAGAGGCGTCAACCGCAACTTTCGATCTTAGATCGGCTGTTAAAGCGGGCTCCGTAGGCGGACAAGGTCCATCACGTCTCGAGTCACCTTTTGTGGGTTTAGTGTAGCGGGCTGATGCCGATTCTTTGGACCGAGTGTGGTCTGAGAACCGTCTTGAAGAGTCCTCCGGACGACTTTTAGAGCTGTGTGGTTTATTAGTACGAGGATCAGATCTACCAGCCTCGGAACTCCGACGTACCTCATGCCGAGGATGCGAACTCTTTGCTGATGGTTGCGTTCGTTCAAGGGGCCGAGTGGTTGATTCCGTTTTATTGGGCTCCGGACGTTTCGGGGCGCTCTGACGTCCAGAGGAAGGAGGACGACCATCAGATCGATGATCAGGCGCAGAGTTAGGTGGTCTACGTGCCATATGTGTTTGAGCAAGTGAGTGACGGTCCTTTTCCGGAACAAACTTTTTGGGTCTATCGACAGTTGATTTTCGAAATGCATTTTGCGAAGTTGAAGATGATGATGAGGAGGAGCCTGATGAGCTGGATGATCTGGAATGTGAGGTTCGACTGCCACCGGTGGATACAGAAGATACTGAATGTGTGTGGGGCAAAAGGAGAGCCCGCCGCGTTGGTCTCAAATGACAATGTTTGTTTTGCTTCAAATGAGCAGCGAGAACCTGGCTCAGGCACAGGTCAGTCGAAGGCACGGATGGTTTTTCTGTGGAAACCGCCTTGGCACTCAGGTCAGGTATATGGAAGGAATGGAGAAATTGTACAATATGACTGTACAGGAGAGGAGCTTCTGGATCAAGCGCTTTCAGCGGAGGACTGGAATGTGCTTGAGCAGATTCTATGAACTTCGCTGGGGGAACATTTGCTCTGCAACGGTGAAGACAGAATAGTGGAAAAGTGAGTGGCTCTCGCACTTTTAGCGCTCAGTTCAGCACAGTAAAACACCTAACGATGGCAATGACAGTGGATGGAAGGTCGGATTTAGAGCACAAAACAAAGAATAATGACATGTTGAAAAGTCAACTGCAGAATGTGAGACTGAACGCAAGAGTGCTACTGAATGGTAAAACCAGTATAAACGAACACACGTTGTCGAGGATGTATCACTAGGCTTGTACGATTATGCGTAGATCAAAAGTTACTGACATGATATCAGGGTCGGAAGGTTGATGCCGGTTTCAGATGGATGGGATAACATTCGATGACGCTTAGGTCCCGTCTGCAACTTGCGCGTGATCTTGATGGTCGGAACTTACCATCCGTCTGAGCCACTGCAGTCCTCACGGATGAGCAAGTGCGCAAGTGCTGTTCGTACAGCAAAAATGCAATAGCGTCCGCGGCTTCCCAGTAACGTCTGTGGACGCACCCTGATCGATTCTCAACCGAATCGGCGACGCGGACTGCTGGTGGGATGTGCAGTTATAGAGAGGAAGTAAGTGTTTTTCAAAACCCAGTGCCACGACAGCCGGAATGATGTTCCTTCGCCCTGACGGATAGGTGCTTTCTCGTTGGACAAGTGTGTCCCACTCCACAGAAACAGATGAATAAGTAAATGCACTTCTTGTTGAGGTAAACAATCTACTTACGCTAAAATTTAGCTCGATCATAGGACCATTGGTGAACTGGAACTGAATTTTTGTAGCTGGGAAAGTGCGTTGAAATGTGACTGAAGACGACGAGTAAGAATTTCCGCGGCAACTTTACCCCTGTATGATAGCGTAGTAAAAGACGGATACTTTTCATCCTACAGGTTATCGGAACTTAGTTCAGCTGCTCCTTGTTGGCTTAAACAAGGCTCCTTGAGCAACCATCCATTTTCGGTGTCGACACATCGTTCTTTTAATGCACGTTACCCGAGGTTAAGAAACACACTTCAGCTGTGCCGCCGTAAAAAAGAGAGTAAAGATTACTGAGTACAAAAGCTAAACAAAATTAAGCACGCTAAAATCAGATTACGCAATGGGTTGAGAGGAAGCTAAAGGGGAGGGGATGGACAAAGAGACTCACAACACAAAGCCACTAAGGTCGGCTCCATACTCTTCCTGTACCAAATACGCGGCGCCGAAAACGCTCATTGCCCACGGGGTGTTCGCACTAGACATGAGCTAAGCTCCGAAGGTAAAGATGGTCGAACGTAACAAGCCTCTTTAGGTCGTTTGATCAAATGGGCCAGGTTTCGTAACCGTACAGGAAGGTTGAACGGATGGCTACATTTTAAACTATGCCCTTCAAAACGAGAGTGATGTCACACCAGCGCAATAGGTGGCGGAAATTCGCAAAAGCACCCCGAGCTTTCGGCTCGTGACCTCATCTTCAAACACAACGAGGCTAATATAGGTGCCCAGAGACTTAAATTTCTTGACAACTTCTAGCTGATCACCGAAAAGGGAGCGGATCCCCCTCAAACTTGGAAAAAGACTTTGCATTTCAAGAGTGCGAAGCATAACTCGAAACGACTGACAGCCAATGCTAATTTGTTCAGTGCTACTTGGCACGTTTACGAGCTGTCACAGATGAGCGCAATGTCGTCGGCGTATTCCGAATCAAGAAGTCGGTCACCTGGGAGCAGCTCCACACCTTCTAAGTCGTGCCCGGCGAACGCTGTTTTCATGAGTTCGTCAATGGCGAAGTTAAAGAGGAAAGGTGACAGGAGCAACCTTGTTTCACACCGGTGGAGATATTGAAGGGAGGCGAAAGTTAGCCATAAACCCTCACTCTGCCCAAACTATGCGTGTACAATGCTCTTGTGAGATTTACATATTTCTCGGGCACACTTTGCATCATTAGACAGTCCCAGATGACACATCGATTAACCGTATCGAGGGCCCCTTTGATGTCTAGGTAAACAATTCCTTAGAAAAAGTACGAACTGAACAAACTAATTAAGCTCGCCTTGTTAGGGGGTCGCGAATCACGTTCCATTTGATCTGTGTGGAACAAAGCTGTGGAATCTCAAGTGGTATTTGCTCCAGGTTCGTTTCTCTTATGCACGCGATGCTGAAGCGCATTGTGATCCACCTCTAAGAGTACGTACATAAGATGAAAAGGACATCTTTTTGGACCTCGAGGATGAACTATGTCATTTCCTGGACTGGATGATGAGACCCTCGATGTTTCGACACAGTTGAAAGATATCGTCACGGCAAGGGGCAGTAGGGGCTGAGGATTGTGACGGTCAACTGTCAATGGTTTTGTTCAAGTAGGTGTTTAGATATTTTAGTCGGCAAATGACTGTATAAGCCTGATGAAGAACCAAGCAAAATATGGATTCGTTTTACCGAATTGAAATGTTTCAAGAGTTTTTCAAAATTACACGATAATGATTAAGGTCTGATCAGGTCTCTCGATCAATTTATTCAAGACTTCAAGTCACCTCATCGACGGGACACTGTTGCTTCGTTCAACTAGGATAACCGGCAACATTTAAGAAACGTTCAAGCGATCAACTAGCAGACTGAGGGCATGACCAAGGCAAACTAAGTGGCTCGAGTTTGACAGACACACCAGTGTGGCCCTAGAGGGTCTTTCCCATACACCAACTGGCGGACCTAGGCATTGTGCGCACCGGCCCGTAGCCTTAGGTATCACAAGCCTGTCTAGTAATCCAAAGGTGCTGGTTCGAGCTTACGTAGGGAAAGGGCAACCCCCACAGTATCTTTAGCTCACGTGCGACTGGTGGTAGTTTCGCAGCAGCGAAGCGTCAGTATCGTGTACCGGCTGATATCTTTCACACCGTATCGCCACAAATTAATAAAAATACTATGCAACCATAGAAGATCAAAAGTCATCACTAAGACAATGTCATCGGTGCGCAGTAGCGAGGTTTTTGATTCACACAGTAACACTGGCCGTAAGGAATAGCAACGCATCCCCCAAAGCAAAAAGCATACATCTCGCCATCCCCATTATTGAGTGAGACATTGAGAAGCCTTATAAGCCTCAACAATGCGTGAGGTAATCCTCCCAGTGATGGTACAACCACGAGTGACCCGACTAACTAAAAGAGTAATTCGATCGACCACTCAGAGTCGCTGTTTCAAAGCAGTGAAAACTGTTCGCGTGTCAACCCAGGATATTATGCGTATGCCGAATCCACGGTCAAGAAGGCGGTTGAATGTGTACTAGGAGACCGAGGTCGTTCGTGCACACACAGTCACAACCTGGAGATGCGTGGAATGCCATCATCCGATTCAGTCGCGTAACAGATGCAAGGCCTGCCGAAACATGGAGTTCTGCGTACTGGTCCAACAACATATGCTAAGCTTACCAGTCGCTAGCCCAACGGAAGTTGGAATATAGAGGGAAAAAGACGAAAAGGAAGACAGTACGCCGTATGAAGTAACGACGCTTCGCTGACGCGCAACCAACACCGGTCGTATGTGGGCTGAGGATGCTGCGAGCGCCGACCTGCCCCTACGCAGGTTCGAACCCGCGCCGCCAGATAACAAGAAAAGCTCGTTACCTTTAGGCTACGAGCCGGCGTTACGCAGTGATAATCAAGCTAATTCCTCAGAACAACAGACGGCAGTACCCAAGTTGCGTTGGCTTAAGCCTGTACTACGTATGCTCGGTCACCAATTGCTGAGGAGGGCCTTGTTGAATACAGAGTAAGTAGGAGACGAGAAAAGATGCATTCGTATCAATTCGATAGCAAAGATGACAAGGGGAGAGATAGAGTAACCTTGAGGTATTTCGTTTGTAGTTGCAAACTCAAAGGAGAGTTTACGGTAAAGTTCTACGAGTCTCCGAGGTCGTGGTACATAAAGTTTAGAGCAGAGAAAGTTCTCCGGTACGGTATACCGTTGCGAAACCTGGCCTGTCAGGTCGACAGATATAAAGACGTTACATACGTAAGAACACCGGTACTTTCGTAGTTTAGCTCACATCTGGGTGGGTACAACTCGTGAGCAATGGGCGCGTTCAGCGTCTTGTTTATGGAGCATGAAGAGGAAGTGAAGCGCTCAGCATGACTACTTCACGTAGCAGCCTTCGGTGGCTGAGTCACCTTTTACGCATGCGTGCACACTGACTCACAAGACGGGCGTTGGCTGTGAGGCCGGGGTGTGGATGGGACAGATGAAGCCCACGGATGGCGCAAGGCTCGACGTGGACAGAAGCTGACTTGGCAGCGGGAAATGAAGTCGCTGACCACCAAACTGGGTGCCGTTGGTCCGTCTCGCCTTCCGGGTTGGAGTCCACGTGACTCATCTTGTGCTTGGCTCGAGACTTTACAGGACATGGCTCGCAACCGACACCAGTGGCGCGTCTGCTGCCGTCTCCTAATCGGATTGTCTGTTTAAAGTGTGTTTGGTGCTGAGTTATCTGCGGGGTAATGGCTGATTATGACGCGTGGCAGTGAAAGCCGCAAGGAAGCTGTCTCGCCGATGCCACCTTATCTTTGCACGATAGCTAGCTGTTTGTGATGGAATGCTGTTAACACAAGGTGTAGGCGCCTTGACCCTGAATGTTTGCTTAGGGCATTAAGGTTTTCAGGTAAATCCCCCTTCTCACCCTCTTCTTAGTCTTTATTTTATAGGTCCTCATGGTTGTATGGCAGCGAAGCATCAGTTCAAATGGCTGATGTACTGCTGTTGATGATGATGATGATGTTTCGCACCAGTATAGGAGAGCTGAACGGACGGTTGCATTGTAAACTAGGTCCCTAAGGATGGGAGTGATGTTACGCCTGTGCCACAGGTGGCGATTTGCGAAAGCGCCTCGAGCTTTTGATATATCGCTGGTGACTTCATCTTCAATACTATGGGCGCGAATGTGACTGCTGACATGAATTTCTGGAATGCTTCTAGCTTATCATCGCCAACAGTCATCGCAGAGGTGGATCTCTACCAATCTTTGAGATCCAACCC